AGCTTGGTCTTCAGCCATGCCTGCAGGCTCTAGGGAAACAAGGAAATAAAGGATCTGAAGCCGTGGGTTTAGCCTTCAACCCGCCACCCCCACCCCCCACGGCGTGCCTCCTGCCTCCCAAGATTCACTGGGAATCTGTAAGTGAATACAAGGTGCTGAGAGTCAGGTGAGGTGTCTCAAAGCACTGGCCAGTCCTTGTGCTATGTGTGGCCACTTGCTGTCATGTCCAGGCACATGGTATTGGTGGTGGTGGGGGGCCCGAGAGGCTGTGGTGTTAGTTATCACCTGAGCTTTGTGGATCTTGTTGATGTTGGACTTTGGGGTGCCACACGATATCACCGTGTGCTTATTAATAAGTTCCCAATATTAAAAAGCCTGTGTGGGTTCTTGCCCAATATTGAGAAGAATTCTGAACACCAGCATAGGTGAACGAGGCAGCAGGGTACGTTTTAAGCTTTTATTAAGTGAGAAAGATGCATAGGAGAGTGAGAGTGTTAGTCCAGTCTAAGGAGAAGGGACATTCTGGAGATCAGGTTGGGGTCCACACCAAGCAGAGAGCAAGCCACAGCCACGTGCAGCAAGTGTTTTGAGCAGCTGTCCACAGCTTATCACAAGCAGCGAAGCAGAGGCAGAGCGATTTTGGGGTGCTCCTTGCCTCTTATGTTTTTCAAAGGGGAGTGGTTACATGGTCTGGTGGGCAGGGGCACCCAAGTGTGGTTGGGTAGGGCATGAGGTCACACAGGGGAGTGACGAAGGCGTGGTCTTCCAGCTCCCACACCTGCTCAGTTCTATCCTGTATGCCTGCCTACCTCACTGCCAGTGTACCTTCCACCTACTGCAGAGGCTCAGGGAGGGGCAGCAACTCTCAAGCATTTGAGCTGTAAAGACTTGCGACTATGAGGGGACTTCAGATTGTTCATGGAAAAGTGGCATGAAAAGATGTTATTTCAGTGCAACACACTTTTGAAATTCTTGTTTAGTTTTTTCAGTTGCATTTCTGTGAACTTTGTGACGATCCCTATATGCATGAGATAGTGACTGACTTGATAAATACGACACTACCTGTGAGCTTGCCACATAGGACTTACAAAAGAGATCAGCCAGATAGAAGACTTTACTTGTCTCTAATCTGAAATCCAGAACTCCTTCCAGTGATTAGTAGTTCCACGCTAGCTCTTTCCCACACCTCTTACTTCTGCACTTACTACCTTACACTGTGGTTATCTACATTTTATCTTCTCCACTACACCACTGGGACTTAGAGGGAAGGTCCATGTTGATTCATGTTTGTGCTACCATGGCAACCACACGTAGTAAGTGTTCCATGTATGTTCGTTAAATAGACTCGAGAAGGAATTTTCCAGTGCCATATCCTTGTGTGTTTCAATTATAGTACTTATTAGGCAAGAGGGACAGTGTTCTTCAGCCTATTAAAGACAAAATCCAGGCATCCGAGAATAGGAATTCTGGGTGTTGTGTGCGTCCAGTTAGGGGCCCTGAAGGTGATCCCTCCTTCCATGGTCCAGAGGAAAGGGGTAGAACTTCAGTGGAGAGATTGTTGTTCATGGAACTAATCCTGGGAAGCAAGGAAGGCCAGTGCGTGACGCAGGAAGTCAGATCTCGTAACAACCCTTCCTGTACCACCCTCTGCCATCGGCCTTCTCTACACCTCGCGCTCTCTTCCCTTGCCTGTGGATGAAGGGGATTGAACCACATGGTCTCTAATGCCCTTTCTAGCCGTCTGATTCTATTTGGCGGTTTTTTATATTGTTATTTATTTTTTTTTTTTTGCAAACAAGTACATAAAATCAGCTGAATAAAGTGGAGATGACCTCTGCGTTCTGTTGGGAATTAGGCAACTTTGTTCTTCCTGTATTTTTATGACACCATCAAGACATTAAAGCACACTACAGAAAAGACAACAGGTGCACAGAGATGGGACTTAAACGGGGCCTTATAGAGTGAGAGGTGCAGACCAAGGACATGAGGACGGCTGTGGGAAGGAGAGGGGGTGCGACGGCTTTGTGCTGGGGGCATTGACAAGGTTTGAAGTTCCAATGAATAGAGGAGAGGCCTGGATTGCCTTTGAGCGTTGCCGTTTAATTCTGGAATGAGCCAAGGACCGTGTTGAGGCAGGAGGAGAGACAGAGCTGTACCTGCTGAACAAAGGCTTGGCAGGGGATGAGTGAAAGGGAGGGGAGGGGGAGGTCACTAATGACAGAGCTGGCACAGGCTCTGTTAATGAATAGGCAGACTGGAACGGAAGCAAGCCGGGAGGGAAGGAGGACTGATCTGGCCAGTGGCCTTGTCATTCAGTTAGGGAGAGTTGGAAAGGGTGCTTACAGCTGCAGGGAAATGCAGCCAGGCAAGTGGACCCTTCCTGAGAACTCATTTCTCATAGCTGATTAACAGTTTATCACAGCTTTCCAGGGTGGCGGGCAGACCTGTTTGGTAATGAGCTTTAGGAGAGATTTCCTGCATTTGTTGAAAGTGGGTCTGTGTGTAAGAGTCCGGTTAATTAGAATAAAGTCACATCATTCCTGTTATTTTATTAGCATTCCTTGATCCTCACTGTTAAAGAATAGACATAAATCCAGAGCTGTGATGATGATGAATAAGAATGTTCTTGCCTATTGACATTTTGTTTTTTAGATTTACTTATTTATTTGAAAGACAAGAGTTACAGAGAGAGAGAGAGGGAGAGATTAACCTTCTATCTGCTGGTTCATTTCCCAAATGGCCGTAGCAGCCAGGGCTGGGCCAGGCTGAAGCCAGGAGCTTCATTCAGGCCTCCCATATGGATGAACAGTCCCAAGAACTTGAGCCATCTTCCACTGCTTTCCCAGGTACATTAGCAGGAAGCTGGATCCGAAGTGGAGCAGCCGGAACTTGAACCAACATCCATTGGGTTGCTGGGGCTTTAACCTGATGCATCACAGCTCTGGCCCCTACCTGTCTACACTCTTCATTCTTATAGATTTTTTTTTCTAGTATTCTTGTATTTCTTTCTACTTCTTGAATTTTAGGTTTGGATTATTTCACCGGAATGCCATGTTAGGAACATATAACATTGGTTTGATAATGCTGTTGACAGTTTATAGGGCAGGGCGTAACTGCTTGGAATGTTCTTTGCTGTTTTGCATTCCTTTGCAAAGTATGCCATTGTTTAGTCTTGATGGGGTAGGCTTCTTGGGATATGACTTTTACACAGCTAATGACAGTTCTTTGTATGGAATGCAGATGTTTGCATTCTCACTGTTTCTCTAATCTCCTTTCCTTTCCTTTTGCAAACTGTAAGGTGTCTAATCTGTAGTGAAGGAATGAGGCATTCTCCCCTGTTGTTTCTCCATCCACCTCTACTTTCCAAGAAAAATTACATGGGTTATGGCAGACAAATTGTGCCTCCAGTTCCCTTCATTTACTTTAAAAATCGTGCCTCGTGTGTTTGTATGATATATGGCACACTGCGGAAGATTTGGCTAATTACCATCCTTTGAAGGCACAGAGTTCTTCTCCAGCAACATGCCTTTGAAGCCAGAACATATTTTATAAAAGTTAAGTGTTAAGTGTCTTTTTATAAAATTATTTGTTAGAGTTGCACATTCTGGTTTTGAATGTAGCCTATAACTTCATTACCTAAAATAGAGGACCTTTCATCTGCCAGGGAATTGAAGGTGGTATGCCTATACGTAATACCCAGATAAATGCACCCATCCAAAATGCTTCTGACCAACACTGTTTTGGACCTTGTATTTTTTCAGATTTTGAAATATTTACCTGTACGTAATGAGCTATCTTGGAGATGTGACCCAGTCTGAACATGAGATTCAGTTATATTTCATATGTAACATATATGTAACATGAAGGCAGTTTTATTCAATATTTGTAGTGTGTCATGTGGAATTTTCCATTTGGGGTGGCATGCTGGTATTCTGAATGTTTTGACGTTGGAGCATTTGGAGTTTCAGATTTTGGGTTAAAGATACCTAAATTGGTACGACTACTGAAATCTGTGGATGCTTTCTAATCAAAGTAATACCCATACTCATAAAAAGCTTTATTTTTCTATTTTAAAAAATTTATGTATTTGAAAAGCAGAATGTGAGAGAGGGAGAGGGAGAGAGATTGAGAGAGAGAGAGAGATATCAATTGATCTTCCATCTGCTGGTCAAACCCCAAATGCCTGCACCAGCTAGAGTTGGGTCAAGCCAAAGCCAGGAACCAGGAATTCCATCCAGATCTCCCATATGGTAGTAAAAGACCCAAATACTTAAGTTGTCATCTGCTACCTACCATGGTATACATTAGCAAGAACCTGGGTCAGAAGCAAAGGCAGGACTTTATCCTAGACATTCTGATATAGGATGTGGATATCTCAGTAGCAGTTTAACCTGATATACCACAATCCTTGCCCCTCAACTTACCAAAAGTTAATTAAAAAAGAATAAGCTTGGGGCTGGTGCTGTGGCCCAGCAGGTAAGCTGCCAGCTACAGTGCCAGCATCCCATGTAGGTGCTGGTTGAGTTCTGGCTGCTCCACTTCAGATCCAGCTCCTTGCTGATGGTCTGGGAACACAGCAGAGGATGGCCCAAGTCCCTGGGTTCCTGCACCCACATGGGCGACCCAGAAGAAGCTCCTGGCTTTTTGCCTGGTTCAACCCCAGCTGTTGGAGCCATTTGGGAAGTGAACCAGCAGATGGAAGATTCATTCTCTCTCTCTCTCTCTCTCTCTCTCTCTCTCTCTCACAGCCTAAGTACTCGGAGACCTGAATGGAGTTCCATTTGTCCCAGCCCTGGCCATTGCGACCATTTGGGCAGTGAAACAGCTGGTGGAAAATCCAGCCCCCCCCCCCGCCCCCAACTCCCTTTTAAGTACATTTTTTTTTAAATTGAGAAAAAGTGTTATTTTGTTGTTTCTTATGGTGCACAATGAAGACATTTGCAAGCCTTTAATGGTATTGGCTACTGTTTACTGACCTGTACCACCTTTTATCTTCGCAGAAATCGGCCCGGTGACAATTACCACAGATCCCAAGAAATTTCAGTATGAACTCAGAGAACTGTATGTTCAGGTAAATGCTTGCTTTCAATTTGACTACTTTTGGGGGTCATGATTTTCCACATTGTCTGGTGGAGGTCATTGTGGTGTTCCAGGGAGCTGGTAAGTATCAGTTGCTTTCCTCACCTGAGTCCTGAATAGACTGAGCAACAGACATGGGAGGAGAGCAGATCTGGGCAGATGCAGCCTCACTGGTGCGCTCTCTGGGGCTGCTGTCCCACTGCAGGGCCAGAGACGGGTGGTTGAGACGGAGATAGTTGGGCCCCCAAAGCCTCCACCGGGACCCGGGTGAGTCCCTTCACTTAGAAGCAGAGAGAATAGTTGCTGGTCCTCTCCCACATCAGTGATGATGTAGCCAGGGTGGTTTTGGTATCTGTGCTGTAAGCCGGCGTGGGGGTGTTTTCCACTGTAACGTGTGCTTACTAAAGGTGCCGAGTCTCACTGGTTGACTGTCCTGCAGACAGAGCGTGGTGGTGTGATCGCAGCCCTCTCTGTGCTGCGGATCCTTGGTCTTGGAGCTTGTCTCCCTGTACTGTGCTCCGTGGTCTCTGCTGCCATCCTCTCTCGGCTTCCTGGCCACTCCCGCCGCTCATCTGGGCGGTTGGTACCTGACTTAGCAGCCCCCTTTCCCCTTCAGCTTTGCCATCATTCCAGGGGGGACTTCAGCCTGTGCGGGGATGACCTCCCGGCCCACAGTCCTTTGACCTACTGCTCATCTTCAGTGGTCTCTCCTCTGCACTGTGTCTTAATCTTCTGTCCCCACAGACGCCCTGGGCCTTGACATTGCCAACTGTTAATCTTCCCGATGGCTGACTTGAGCATCTTACTCCCAGCAGCAGGTGTCTGTCCGGTCCATCCCAGGGGCAGCTTCTTACCACAGTGGCTCTTGCACGTCCAGCCCTCCAGGCCTCTGGCCCCGAGTCTTTCTCCCAGGCCATCCCATTTCTCCTTTTTTCACTTTTTTTCCAGTTTAGCTCAGAGGTGTACCATTTTAGAAACACTGCTTTTCCTCTTTTCTGTTAAAACAGTGAAACCTTGCGCCTGGATAACCCCTACTGTGCGCTTTGTGTGTGTGCACTAGCGGCCAAGTGCTGTGGTGCTCTTACGACAGGACAGATTGATCCTACTGTGAGTTCTCAGCCATTCATCTCAGGGGGATTCAATACTCCCATGATCCTGCTGCATTTCTTTGGCCAATTAGACTTCCCATTCCTCTTGGTTATAATGATAGATCTTCTCTGTTCTCCTTAAACTTTCATCCCACCACCCTCTGCCTGCTGGCTCATTTAGCAAATAATCTCTGAGCACTGACTTCACGCAGTGTTTCACACACGGGCGTGTACAAAGGAAGCCCTCTGCCTCCTCATGCCTTACATACAAGGGCACCTCAGAAGGGTCACAGGAAAATGAAGTCCATTTTGGTGCTGAAATTTGTGAAATCATTGCACACTTTTATGATAAAATACTCCATGAACTTCTTAAACTCTCATAACCTGTTTACAGCCACCTGACTTTCTCACTGATACCTGTTTCTCACAACTGCTTAAGAGTTCCCAGCGAGTCCTGTGACCTTCTTCCTGCCTGGTGCTGGTGCTTGGTCTTTGCTCGCAGTATGACCTCCAAATGCCCGTCTCTCACTCCTGCCTCAAACGAAGAAGCCAAGACCAGCTCCTGGCCCCAGGATGGTGGACATATGGGTCTTCTGGGTTTGTTGAAGGGAGAGGAAGCAAATGAACATATTGATGAAGTACAAAATGGAATAGACTTAATGAGCAAACCAGTCTGGAGATTTTGAACGTAGAACAGAATGTAACAAACTCTGCCACCATGTTTTCACCAGAATCCCAGAATTTTGGTAACGGCGTTGTCAGCGATCCACAAGGATCTGCACCGCTCCGGGAGGAGGATGAAGAGGTGCTGCATTGTCTGACCAGAGTCAGAGACAGAATTTGAGGATGCTAAATCGGGTTACAGGATAGAGTTTCAATTTTTTAATGAAAATCCTCACTTCGAAAATAAAGTTCTCCCCAAAGGATTTCACGTGAATGAGAGTGGTGGTCCGTCCTCGCAGTTCACTGAAATCAAGTGGACATCTGGAAAGGATTTGAGGAAACGGTCAGGTCAGACGCAGAACAGAGCGAGCAGGAGGAGGCAGCGGGAGGAACCAGAGAGCTGCTTACCTGGTTTCCTGGCCATTCTGATGCAGGTGCAGACGACTTAGGAGAGGTCATCAAAGATGCGTGGCTGAATCCATTGCAGTAGTGCTTGGTTCCTGAACCAGATGACAAGGAAGAGGAGGGAGGTGGGGAGGAGGATGACAGTGATGATGCAGTAGGAGGATTGGGAGACACTGATGAAGGAGGGGATGAGGATGCAGGTGAAGGAGATGAAGATGGTGATGAAGATCACTAGTAGAAAACGCTGATGGATTTCAGGCTGCTTTTTTGTCTGTGAATTCTCTCTAGTTCCTGGGTTAGAGTTGCTCTCAGTTCTATTTTCTACCCTCTTGTGCTCACTCTCCCTGTTTTTGTGGTCTCTGTCCTCTGCACCATGGTTCTCATCTTGTTATGGGGAAAATACCTTAAGCAGAATACCATGGGAAAAGAATCTTCACCTCAGGATAGCTATCATACCCCCCCCCCCAAAAAAAAAGTACTGGTGAGGATGTTGGGGGGAAGGTACTGGAATACACTATTGGTGGGAATGTGAACTAGCACAGCCATTGTGGAAGGCAGTATGGAAATTCTTCCAATATCTGAAAATACGTCTCCATATGATCCAGCCATCCCACCCCTGGGCAGTGACCAAAAGGAAATGAAATCGGCAGATAAAAGAGTCACCTCTACCCCCGTGTCTGTTAAGCAACTCAGTTCACAATAGCTAAGATAAGGAATCAACCCCGATGTCCATCAGCTATGACTAAATAAAGAAAATGTATTATATGGACACTGTGGAATACAACTCAGCCATCAAAAAGAATAAAATTCTATCTTTTTCAACAAAATGGAAACCACTGGAAGCCATGCTTAGTGAAATAAGCCAGTCCCCAAAAGACAAGTATATGGTTTCCAAGATTGTGGTAACTTAATATAGAGCACAAAATGTAATTATGTGAGTGAATTCGACATTTTGAGATTTGATTATTGTTTACAGCCCTTGTCTATGTTACTGGAGAAGCAAGGGTTCTTGTCTTCACACAAGAAAGAATTCAGGTGTGAGAGAGTAAGAGGAAAGCAAAATAGCAAGGTTTGTTAGGGTAGGAACATCCATAAGAAGGATGGGCACCTCTCCAAACAGGACCTGAGAGAGAGCGCCCAGTTGCTCAGACTGGGGAAGGGCGGGGTTACATGGTTGAGTGGAGAGAGTACACCTGGGCAGGCCAGGGGGCGGCTCAGCAGAGAGGCAGAGGGCTGAGCGCGCCATCTAGTTGAGACCGGGGTTTTTAAGGGGATGGGTCTTGCCTTCCTGCCTTTTCCCTCTCCCTCTCCTTCTTCTCCGGAACAAAGGACTTTATGGATGTAAATACAAAAAATTCCTTTCTGAGTTATCAGAGGAAGCCTGGCTGGTGTTGCCCCGCCTTAGAGGGGCCTTAGAGAAAGGATGGTTATCCGGTAGAAGGGGCAGGGCGTTTGAAGTGCATATACTGGGCTGCACCTGGAAGGTTATCAGGATGACTTTGAGATGCGGATGCTAGACCTAGATGTCAACTCCTTAGGCTTTTGTCACACACACATAAGCTCATTTTTGACTTCCTACCCAACATATACTCTTGAGTAACTGGTTTTTCTAGTCACTGCTTGTTGAATTCTTTATTTAGTGGAGGGTTAAACTCATGATTATAAAATAAACTGAAAAAATGTCATTGTAAAAATTAAAAGAAAAAATAAGGAAAGGAGACAGGGTGGAGGTATGGGAGAGAGAGTGGAAATATGGGGGGGAGAGTAGGGTGAGAAGTATTATTATGCTATGAAATCTGTGTATTTGAAGTGTAAGAAAAAAAGGGGCACAGAGCAGAGAGGAGACAGGATATGAACTTGCAACCAGACTGGAGTTATTCAAAGAAAATAAATCCACAGAGGTGGGTGAGCAGCTGCCAGCGTGCATGCAGACTGAGTATGTGGCAGAGGGCCCAGACCCCAGGGCTGGGCTTTTTTATATCTTAGGTGGGCTGGGGGTGGGGGTGGGCGTAGAGGGCAGCAGAGGTGAATTCCTCCACAGGGGTCTTCCAAGTTTGACTCCTGCCCCAACCTGGGGAAGACTGTGGGGGGTCGGGGGTGGTGAGGACAATAGGATGTGAGACCTAATTGAGATTCAGGGACAAGAGATAAATTCCTATTTTCTCTCCTTTGGGCAGTGAGGTAGAATGGCTGAGGCTTATGCCCTTGTTCCATCATGAAGTACATTAAATTTGTTTACTTCCTATAAATTTATTTTTTTTTTTTTAAAAGTGGTTGTGGAGCCAGTGTTGTGGTGTAGTAGGTAGAGCTGCCACCTGTGAAGCCAGCATCCCACAAGGGGACCAGTTTGTGTCCTGGCTGCTCCACTTCCAATCCAGCACCCTACTAATGGCCTGGAAAGGCAGGGGAAGGTGACCCAAGTCTTTGGACCCCTGTCACCTTCCTGGAAGACTTGGATGATGCTCCAGGCTTTGGCCCAGCCCAGTGCTGGCATTTGTGGCCATTTGTGGAGTGAACCAGCGGATGAAAGCTGTCTCTCTCCTTGTGTCTCCCCCTTTCTGCCTGTAACTCTGGCTTTCAGAATAAATAAATCTTTTTAAAAAATTTGCTTCCAATTAACAACTTCTGTCTTGCTTGATTACATCAGTGCCGTAGAGGTCGTGTGTTTACTGCATTCATTTTCTCATCTCTCCTGCCACTCAGTCTGTTTCATTTCATTTTTTAAAATTTGAGATGCAGAGTCGGGGGTGGGGGGGGACACAGAAGGGTGAGTGATCGCCCATCCACTGGTTCACTCCTCAGTGCCCGTAAGGGCTACAGTTGGGTCGGGCTGAAG